GCATCTACATTAAGGTCTTATCCAAAGTGATAAAAGTATTAGACAAAGAAAGAACAAACTGGAAAAACAAGGCAGAGTAGACTCGATGTAGAGGAAGAAGGGAGGTGAAGACACTCGAGCAACCTGTGGTCGACCGATCCAGTTATGGGACACCCTTCAATCTAGTTGGAAGAGGATGGCACAAAGTCTCCAAGATGCCACGGCAGGGATGCAGATCGACGGTGGCTAGATCTGGAAAACCAACGAGCCCCTACCCAGATCAACAGGAAAGAGTCGAGGGTTGCCGGAATTATAAAAACAAGCTGTACAAGAACACAAAACAACACAAACAACCAGAAAACAAAAAAACCAAAAGGGATCACTGGAAAGGGACCCAGAAATCGATAGACCCCCAATGGTCATCGAAGGAGGGAGCATAGGCTAGCTCCAACATGCTTGAGCAGTCGGGGGGCCCAACGGCTCAAGCATCAAAACCTCAGAAACTCAAAGGCTTTCGAGCAAAACAAATGCAGTGCCAGACAAAGGAGGTAGAAGCAAGAGAGAAGGCAGAGAAAAGGGGAAAGAAGAGAGAGTAGAATCTTTTAATTTGTTTAAGTGATTTTTTTTTTTTTGAATGCAAGGGAAGCAATGCATTAAGAATTGTCATACGGCATCTACATTAAGGTCTTATCCGAAGGGATAAAAGTATTAGACAAAGAAAGAACAAACTGGAGAAACAAGGTAGAGTAGACCCGATGCAGAAGAAGAAGGGAGGTGAAGACACTCGAGCAACTTGTGGTCGACCGATCCAGTTATGGGACACCCTTCAATCTAGTTGGAAGAGGATGGCACGAAATCTCCAAGATGCCACGGCAGGGATGCAAATTGGCGGTGATCCAAACTGGTGGTGGCCAGATCTGGAAAACCAATGAGCCCCTACCCAGATTAACAAGAAAGAGTCGAGAGTTGCCGGAATTATAAAAACAAGCTGTACAAGAACACAAAACAACACACACAACCAGAAAACAAAAAAACCAAAAGGGGTCTCCGGAAAGGGACCCAGAAATCGATAGACCCCAATGGTCATCGAAAAGGAGGGAGCACAGGCTAGCTCCAGCATGCTTGAGCGGTCGGGAGGCCCAACGGCTCAAGCATCAAAACCTCAGAAGCTCAAAGGCTTTCGAGCAAAACAAACGCAGCGCCAGACAAAGGAGGTAGAAGCAAGAGAGAAGGGAGAGAAAAGGGGAAAGAAGAGAGAGTAGAATCTTTTAATTTGTTTAAGTGATTAAATGTGCATGCCTATATTGATTTTATAATTGACATCAAAATATAATATTTTAAAGGGAAAATATTTGTGATGCAAAAAGACTATGGAACCCGGCCCACAAGGATTCAATTTCAAAACTGAATATTAAAACATATTTATTCCACGTCACTATTTATCAAAAGCATAGCCGCAAGGGATCTTGAAGGCTCTAGTCCAATCCATGTCCAAGTCCAACTGCCTACTCTTGGTCTTGTTATATAGGTGGCTCTTACTCTCTGAGCTTAAGCCCATGCCAATGGATTAAGGGCCTCAAAGGCTTCCTTCCATAATTCCATTTATCATTATATGGGCTAATGCTCTTCAACCTAAAAGCCTAACATAAATGGATCAGCCCACCTCAACCCCAGAGGAGAAGGAGATCATATGTTTATAAAATAATTTAAAGCAGAAACAACGGTATAAGCACGGTTTTAGCTTAGGCAGTTTCTTACTGGGGGTTTAAAGTTGCCATTTAGTGGGCAATATAGAATAGATTTGTTGATTTTATGCAGGGGAATTACATTCAATTTTTTTATGCATTACTCACTTATATATGTCAATTTGGCCTAGCTTAAAGATAAAAAAATACTAGAAACGAAAAGAATACAGCGTAAGAAAAAAAAGCATATACTCGTTCCGGTCTAATTTAGTTATTTTGTTTTATTTATTTACTATTGTCAAAAAATTTATTTTTAATAATAATTGAGATTTTTTCATTTTCACTCTTACTTACAAATTATAAATCTAATAGTCCCAATACATTTCTCTATCCTATGAGATACGAGTGAATTTAAAATATCACAATCATCAATATATTGTCAAAATAAAAAGTAAAATAACTAAATCAAATTATTTTTATTTAAAAAATAAGACAATTAAATTAAAACCGGAGGAAGTATATAACTAGTGAATCCTTAAATAAACAATTATTCATAACAAAACAGACGGCCGGTGACCAGTGTATTTTAATCTTCACTTCCTTTTGATTTTAAAAGGGCTTCGTTGACCAAACAAAAAAAAAAAAACATATAAACGAGTGGAGAAAGAACATATACTCATCACATGCATCATCTAAAAAGAAAGTAAAAATGTAGTATTTATTTCATCATTATTTTTTTAGAAAATTTCTAATTTTTTCCTTCAATGTATACTTATTGTATCTCTTTATTATTAATTT